CTGATACAAGCGGAGGGGCCATTTTCACTCTACCTATAGAAAAATTGCCAACCAAGTGGAAGAACACCTTAAACGAAGCGTTTCACGAGCCTGGTTCCTTTATAGCCTTTCTATCGTTAACGAGGTAAAGAGGAAACACGTTTATTCGATGGTTCATCCTATCTTCGAGTTTCGAGAGTCTCTTGAATGATATTTATTCGCGAAAATATTATGTCATCTCGGCAAAAATTATCTTCAATTTCATCTGTACGATCGTTAATTATCGCGGGGAAGAGCTATTGATATTGTTACGTCAGAATGCTTATTCTTTTATGAATATGCACGGTGGGGGGTTGGCAATTTTCTTAATTAAAAAGACGCTACCTCGAAGCTGAAAAACGGTCCGGGATAATGGGCTGCGTTTTCATTTCTTCACAAAAAACAGGTAACGAGGCTGGGCTCTTGAATTATCAGAAATTCCTTAAAAGCTTTGTTTCCTTGGAAGCGGTGTCAAGAGTTCGTAATTACAGTCATTGAACAAACAAAAGGGGTTCCTGTTTTTTCTTTGTCCAAAGACGGAATGAACAAACATAAACGCGGAGATTCGATTTAACTTAACTTTCTAAATTTGAAGCACACTTAACATTATTCCGACGATTCGATATTCCCAAGTTACCAGACACTTCTCTAAAAGGCATAGAATAAAATTTATATTTGCCAGGGGACACACTTTACAAGGTTCCCTCTGAAATTTCTTTCAAATAAAATTCCAACTTCTCTGAAAACTTCGCTCTTCTTTTATTCAAGGATTTGAAATTCTACGAAAAAAAAGCTCGAGTATCGAATAAAATCTCAGCTGTTCGGAAAAATTTTCATCGTTCTCCCCTGAAAAATTCATTCGAACGCGATGAAATTCGTTTACCGATGAACAGATGAATCGTTTCGAAAGATACGCACGCGTTGCCCGTGTGTAAAATCAGTGTTAAATCGACGCGACGTTCTCTATCGGATAACAGTCAGGTGACTTTTTCAGCGAGCCGTTAACGCCGGCATTAACGCAGTCATTGAATTTAATTAATGTCAAAGCGGTGACGCGTGCTGCCACGCCACGATACACGGAAAGGGTTCACGTACGTCAGTCTGATCGTCGTCCGACGAGATTGTCCGCTTTTTCCGACTCTCTCTCTTTTCCAACTCCCCTCTTTCCACCCATTTTCTCTGGTAAAACGTATCGTGAAAGATCGACGATGTGGGCTCGTTTAAATCCCGTTTCGTTTATCTCGTGGCATCCGCGATTTAAACAACATTTATTTACGCTCTCGTGGCTGCCGGTGAACGCGAAAAAGATGAGGACAGACGGCGGATAAACGAGAATACGCGTTCGTCAAATTGGCAATAAATCGTAGGAATAGCTTATCGCCAGGCCGATGTTCCACTTGATAACACGACACGCCTACCCGCATCATTTTTCTCTCTCTCTCTTTTTTTTCGGATAATCTGAATATCGATCCAGAGTATATCACCCGCTTCCGCATAATTTTAACCTTTTCTCGTTACCCGCACTGCGTAAACAACTACGCTTCTCTGGAAGCGTTAATGTATCCGTGGAGTTTTTTTAAAAACCGTTCCCGCGAATCTAACGACAAGATTCGGCCGGAGAATCGAGCGAAAAAAAGGTTGAATTCGAAATCGAACGAGAGATCCTGAATCTATTTAACTTGGCTTATTTCGAGAGGGCGGATTTCGAGATGCATCTGATTACGCGAACGAAGCCGTAATGCTATCAGACCGACTACTTTTCGCTATGGTAAGATTTACTTCCATCTTCCCCGTTCAATTTCCAATCTGTACACCTAAGGGGATTCATTTGTCCCTTTATAGGAACACGTTATTCGATAACATGTTCGATTTCCTGTTAGGAAACAGGACAAACCACTTTGTAATTGCTTAGATAATTTCTAATATTAAATACACGTATAGCGTTCGAGTTTGAACGAAGCACCCGTAAACCAAGGGAATATTTGTATTAATACTTTTTATTTATATTTGACCATAAAAAAGTAGAACATACTGGGTAATATATAACTATTCGTTATTGGACATGGCTTTAAAGATCGCTGAAACTATAATTGCTATCTTCCCTGGGGAGAGTTTCGTTTCTCTACCGGTTAATTACAAATCAGGAACATGCATATGTTACCCTGTCTGATCACCGCGTTCCCTAATTACCACTATTTGTACGAACGCGACAGCTCGGCTGGATAATAAATTGCAACGAAGAATTATTATCGAAGGCTGATAAAAATTCGAGGACGGTTCGAGTGCACTAGACAAAATCGTGGAGATAAATTTCTCTAGGAGGCAGATTAAAAGTTGAACCAGCGTTTCGATGGTTTATGACGGTAATATCGGTAGAAAACGTTGATCAATACGCGGCGTCGATGCCGGTTCTACGGAGCTTTATGAAGCAATAAACGGGAAGATTAAAACGTGAGCGCGAAACTGGCCAGATCGCTAGACGATCCACTAAATTTTCTTTTATTTATTTTTTCATGTAACGAAATATACTATACACTTCTAAAAATATAGTCAGACATATAGTTCAACTCTCACAATTGATCCGACACGAAAAAGATGGTTTGTCATGAAAAAATTACCGAACCGAGGGAATGTGGAAGATAAACAGAGGAAATTAAGATACGACGGCGCTTTAATTAGCAATTATTTAAAGGAAAAATTTATATAACGCTTCAAGGAAACAAGATACTCAAGCATTTGGCGTGAAACCCTTTAATCCTTCAGCGAACTCCTGAATATTCTCCGAGCTTATTTTTCTTCAACCCCACTGTTCCTTAAAGCACGTTTACTTCGTTGCTCATCTTTATGCACAGCCATGCTGTGCCAGCGTTGCATCAAATTTTTAAGCGAAACACAAACGTACTACCGAGGAGGATCGCGCGATACAAAGACGAATGTTAACACCAGATTAAAATTTCAGGCACTTTACCTTGCTCTATGTGAATATACAAATTTCTAATATTTTCAACGTATCGTTACGCGTGTTGAGAAACAACCACGATCTTTCGAATATTTTCAACCCTATGAAAATGACGACCTTTTATATGATTTTTAATTTTACCGTATAACACGAAACGATCTAGGGACCAAAGGGATTAATACCTTGTTAAAAGTGTTGAAACCCATTAAATCATTTACCTATTTGCCCGATCGCGACCTTTCAAATGATGACCCTTGAAATGATTTTTAATCTTTGGGGATGAAACGAAGATGTTATTTGCAGTTGTAATAAGAATCTTTTACGACGCGCCCATTCGACATAATATTTCATTACTTTCTATAGAAAAAATTAATGAATTTTTATTAGTATCGGAAGAAATCGTCGGGCATAAAGGATTGAATGGAAAAAAAATTCAATCAAACGTCCCGTGTTATCTATCGTATGCATCGAACTCGAAAAAATACAATCGACGCAGGGCGATAGCGGCAAGGTTTTCACACGGTTGCTCGGAAATTATCGCGGCTACCTATCGATCACTAAAGTATTGCTCCTCCAGCAAATACGTAGGTACGTCGAGCTGGTTCTGTCGCCGAACACGCGTATCATTTATCTCGACGGGAAATTGCGTTACGCCATGTATCGTATCGATCCATGTTGCAAACGGCTTCAACGGAAGCGGGTATGCGTGTTCACCCACGGCGAATCGAGACCCGGTTGGACAAGATTAGAAAACGTCACCTACCTCCGAGAGTTAAAGGACGCTCAGGGACCCGGTTCGAGGTTACTTTGCGCGACACTGAACGATATTAACCGCCACTGCACCCGAATCGATTCCCTATTAAACGACCATGATTAGCCATAATGGATAAACTCGGGATCGAGTTAAACGCAAGTACTATTTTCTGACTCTTTAAATCATCCAAAGAAAACTAATATTACTAATCTATATTAGCGTTTGTACGGAAATAAACAATATCTGATTTGAATCACACGCTAAAGAGGTGTCGCAGAAAATTTTAATCGCGAGCAAATTAACGCGAAAGATCAAACGCGATTCGTGAAACCTGTTAATAGGAGAGTGTCTGCCGTCGACAGATGTACAAACACTTCCTTTAATCCGTCTTTCCTTAAGCCACGAGCTTTCTCGTTAAATTCACAATATTCCTTGTTACTCTCACTGATTGCAATCTTCAGCGTGTCGCTTTGAGGCTGGGTCTCGATTTTCGAATGAAATAAATTTCTTTATAGATAACGTTCGGCCGGATGGAAAGGGGATTCTGATGATTCGATTAGAGAGTAAATTTGTCGAGCTGGTATTCGCGAAATTGGCGTTATTGTAAGGCGCGATTAAACGGGAGTGAAACGATCGATATGATATTCGATGCGACGCGTGCGGTTCGTTCAGCTTTATCAGCTGAAAAGCGAACATCTATCCACGTATCGTAGATGGATCAATCGGTTCTATCGGTTACGGTTCCCCTTGCGGTTCCGTTTCGTGACAGCTGTTTCAAAATTTCAACCACACGGTGCCCACACGTAAAACGTTTCGAACGTCAGCTTGCGTTTAACTTTTGGAGAAATTAAGCTTGCAATTCAAATTTCCAAGTCCCTGTTTCAACGGGTTAATCCATTTAAAGTTATAAAATATAAATACAATTGAAAAAGAAAACTAAGCATTTTGAAACACCCACGTTCGCGGCTTCTATCAATGCGCAAAGTACGTAAAGAAGAAAACCCGTAATACGATACTGACAGTGTACCATCCTCCCTTTCACGATTTTCTGCTACTTTCATCACAAAAGAGGTATAACTCTTCATAGACATTGTAACAGGTGTTCTCAGGACCGTTCAAGGATTCTGTTTGCGATCCCTCGAAATCACGAGAAGGTGATATTTTAACTATAGACAGCACTACGTTGGCGAAACAACGTTTTGCTTTCTCTTTTGGAATTTTTCCTCGCCCCTCGGCGAACCGATTTCTCTCACGAATTCTATTTTATAGGAATACTTCGGTACAAATGATGAAAGGTCGGCACCAGTTTCGTCGCCGTTTCAGTCTACAACCGTCATCGCTGAAGGAGGGTCAGGAAGATGGTACGACGAAGAACGTTAGGTAAGGAAATTTCTAATGCTATTTCCAACCAGTCGTATCGAACCTGTCATGTTCACGCTCGGGAATCCTCGTAAAAAAAGAAAGCTTTTACGCGATATTCCTTTTCCCTCTTATTTCCGCGATGCTACGTGAACGCGTATATTTATATATACTTTACCAGAGCGAAGGAGAGAAAGAGCTTCCGCTTAAAATGGCCACTCTGCTCGAAACTTCCTTTTGTTACTTTCATTAATTTCAAACAAATAACGAAGAAAATGTTGCCGGGGAAAAGTGTACTTCCGTCCGACACGAAACACATGCCAGGCCTTCAACAACACTACTTTTATTCTCTTTTCTCCCTCGCCTTTTCACCGTTTCTTTCTCGATGTTCTTTCCGGCCAACCTCTTGACTCGCTCTTAGACCGGGCCGAGCTTTAATTTCGCGGCTAGTCTTCGCGAAAAAGGGAAGCTCGCTCTTCTCCTTTGTGCGCACGGTAATAACCACGTCTCGCTTCTTTGCCGTAATAAGCGTGGATGATTACGAAGACGAAGATACTTAGAAACAGTTGTTATCTGGTGCATGCAAAAGCACTGAAGTACCCTGCACCACTCCACAGAAGAGATATCCAAGGGAGTAATCGCGGCTCGAATTCAGGACAGCCGCAACACGAAACCAGTATTCAAGATGACGTCCACAGAAGGATCTTTAATGTTCATTAGCGCTATTCTTTTCGTCGGGCTGTTGTATTTTTAAACGCAGATTGCTCTTTGCATTTTTAATCGCGATATATATACATGTATGCATTTGTTTCAGAAATGAAAGATTGTCGGAATCGGACAGCGGCGGCGGAAAACAAACGGAAAGTTCTATAAGATACAAAATCGTGGTGATGGGAGCAGCGAAGGTTGGGAAATCGGCGATTATCAATCAGTTTCTCTACAACACCTTCACTCCTAAATACAAACGAACCGTGGAGGAGATGCACCACGGCGATTTCAACGTATCCGGGATACATTTGACGCTAAACATCTTGGATACGTCGGGCTCGTACGAATTCCCGGCTATGAGAGACCTTTCGATCAAATGCGCGGATGCTTTCATCCTCGTCTACGACGTTCACGACACCAACACCTTTCTCGAGGTGAAGACTCTGAGATCCGAAATTCTCAGCAAGAAGGGTGCGGTGCCGATTGTAATCGTCGGTAATAAGGTCGATCTGATCGATTCCGAACAAGAGGTACCTGAATTTATTTAACTATCCCCGATTGTCTGGAAATTTCTTTCCTGATCTGTTATATTTTCAGGTGGACAGCGAGAGCACCAGAGAACTAGTCACCACGAAATGGAACAACGGATTCGTAGAGGTGTCGGCAAAGGAGAACCTGAATATCACGCAGGTGTTCAAAGAGTTGTTAACCCAAGCGAAGATGAAATACAATTTGAGCCCGGAACTACGACGACGTCGCCGGCAATCGTTGCCACCACCGCAACATTTAAATTCCCGTAGCAGCAGCGCTCACGTTCCATCGCCAGCTCAATTGCAACATTTGCAACAGATTCGCGAGCGTTCCGAATCCAAGAGGAATTCCTGCATTCTCTCGTAAACAGTAGCTGCTATGTTTCAGCAGATCCGATAGAGACGGGGCGAAGCAAGCCGAAGAGAATGGGGGAAACTATACTACGACGATTCTATTAGCGATTCCATTCGCTCGGATCGATCGATATTCTCGTTTCGACGTCGCTGCCTCGCACGCTCGATAGAAACCACGATTAAACGGTCCTTCGATGGTTTAAACGCCATCGAGGATACGTCGTGGGTGATATATCGAAGGCCAGCTTGTACCCGTGAAAAACGGTGAATTTCTTTCATTTTTCGCTAAACGATCGACGTCGAGACGGAGGGGTACGACCGCGAAATCCTACGCGTTACATTTGAAACTCTCCAGGAAAGATTTTACCGTAGAAATGGCCTCCGATTCTGACGAAACTTTTACCAAAGATATGAATATATGGTTCAAATCTTCCGTCGTCTTAGACTGTCGCGCTGATTTCAATCGTACAAAGAAACGATTCGATGAAGATAAATCGATGTTTACTGTTCGACAATTCAATGTGTATAGGACGAGTCAAAGTACTTGATGTATCTCTATTTTGTCTTCGACTGAACACACGCGTGTCCTGAAATTCGATCAAGAAGTTCTTGTTCCTTTCTAAAATAGTTGTAGAAAAAGAAAACTTGCATCACCGGGATATTTTACGATCTACCGTTAATAGGAAATCACTATTTCTGGTGATCTATCGTTTCAGTTTTCTTCTCGTGCAGAAATGAAACGATGCAAACGTGGTGTTGACGAGAAAAAGTATAACCGAACCAAAAGATGTATACGTTAAGTTTAACATATTTATTCCGAATTATCAAAAAACCATAGGGGTCCCAGATTTTGCAGGCATACCAAAGTATCCTACAAAAATATCCTACTTCAGGGTTGTCTCCCACTGCCCGTTCAACATCTTATTAATCCAATGTATACAACACGCCCAAGAAACATTTTATAAATCCATTACTTGGCTAGTCGATCGAATGAATTTACATTTAAATCGCCTACGCTGTTCTTTATACATACTATATTATATACATGTATCTATACGCAATTGATTTAAAGAAAAAAAGAAAGAAAGATAACCTCGACTAATTCAATCTATATCGTATAAAGTTACGTGTAGACAGTTTATTAACAATTATTATATTCCTTACTTAAAACGTATTATATATTTCGAAAGAGACAAGTATATTGAAAATGAAGATCTATCATTCTCCTATTTAACTATGAAATATCGAATTATTTGTCAATTATAATGAACGTGAACTTATTGTACACGATTGCCTTGCTCGAACCCTGAGTTACCGTGAGTACAATAACGTTCAGGTGAGAATAGAACACCACGTACAAATTCTTCTATTCGATTGCAATAGCTTTTTAAAAACGGCGTTATTGTACTTGATGAACGCTGAAGAACGAGAAAATGAAAAAAAAAAGAAAAGAAAAGAAAAGATAAAAAAGAGGCAAGTAGTGTGTATGTACTTTACATTATACGAAAATTCCATATAGACGCGAATCTTTGCTGAAATTACGTATTATTAAACTTGAACTTTGCAAACGCATTAACTTGATCGTGTTACTTGAATTAATGTTAACTAGATCCATCGATTTAACGAGTAAACACCAATCGAAACATTTAACGCGTGAATTATACTAGATACACGAAACTTTTGTCAGGCCACACTTTAAACACGACTGTGACTATTTCTAGCGTAGTTCCGGAAGAAATGTATTGGGGACAGATTATTAGTAGTGTAAGCCCTTGACTTTGTATCATTGCGTTACCAAAAATTAAATAAAAGATGGATGTTATATTTAAATTCTCCAAAGTATCATTTATTTATTTTATTCACACCCCTTAGAATAGATATCTTCCAATAATCTAAATCTAAAAGATCTAATTAGATTTTAAAATTTTTTATATTTGTTCATTTCAATGAACACCATACTATCAAAATCTTATATTTATTATAAAAATCTACTCTTTATCTTGAAAATGATTTACCATATCCTTCCTGTATTATCTTCTGTGAATAAGCTAGGAATTTCTTGAAATCCTAGTGAATTTTTGATACTTTCACCTACCTTACCTACAAACGGTCATCAATAATAGGGACATTTAATGATACGGATTTCTATAAATGAAAGCATGTTTGTAAACATTAATGAACCCGTAACCTACATCAGGAGAAATGTGCCGGCCAAATTTTCGCGTTAAACTTGATTTATGCAAGTTTTATAACGATGTACGACGTTACTGTTGGATTTTCATTGATGGTACAAAAATGTGCAATGTATCACATATGACAGAACACATTGGAAAATTATTGAACATCAAAGAACCGTTCCATTTGTTGTTAAATAAAACTGAGTACTTGCCACCTAACGAGGATATTCGTATTGTTAAAGAAAATGAAACGATATTGTAAGTATTTTTGTATGGAATCTATGAAAGAAGTACCATTATTTATGTGAAAATTTTGCAGGGTTTCTCCTGGATCTGGATTGGAAAATGAAATGGAAATATCTACAGAGAATACAACACAAGATATAAGTAGTTTTATGAAAGAAGAAAGAAATAATTCCTTTCAAAATAAACAAATTCAGACCAATTGTTTTTCAGTAAATACAACTGCAGTTCAAACTTTGTCAAATGAAGGTGCATACAAATCGCAAAGTGGTCTGTGAATTTTATTCTTTTAATGTATCAAATAAGTTTTATTTTAATGCTGTGTAATAAATTTTATATGAAAATTTCTGTTACAGAGTTTTCAGGATTCAGTACAACATGTTATGGGAAAGGAGATAGCGAAGCAAGCAGTGTGGTCAAATCAAAAACTACTGACACAGCTCTGATGGAAGATTTTAATACAGAAAACTTATATCCAAAACGAAAACGCGTAAGGCATAGAAAGAAGAAGACGAAAGAAGTTGAGCAAAGTGCTCCACAAGAAAATGAAAATAAACCAGCAAAGCCTAGAATTATTGATTCTTATCCTGTTTCTTTTGGCAGCCACATTCGTTTTGATAATGTAGATAACAAGGATGTTAAAGAAAACAAAGTAATTCGTACAGATACAATGAATGGGTGCAACGTTAAACAAATATCACCTTCTCATGAACTTGCAAACTTATTATCGTTAGGAAAAAGTTCTACTCCACTAACCTTTAGTAACACCAGAGTGAAGGAGGAACCCAAGGTAGATCACATGTCCGATGGAGAGCCTCAAGTTAAAGCTTCCTCTGAAAATAGAAATGAAAGTGTGGCTGTGAATGAAAAAGCGCAGAATGGTAAAAAAGATTGGTTGGACAAAGATTTTCTCAAGTATCCAATTTTGACAAGAAAACCAGAAGTTTTGGATGTTATAGCTTTTAAGGTAATTATTCTTTAAATCATTAAAATTAAGTTTGATATATTTCTCTATAAGTCTAATTTTCAGATGCTCAAAATTGGAAAAGATTATACACCACAAATATCAGACTTTATTGTAGGAGAAGTAATATTTCGGAATCCTCTAAATACAGTGTATACATTCAAAGTATTAAGTATGTACTTTTTATCGCCTACATTTATCAATTTTGATGGGATTTGCTTAAATATGTTTCTCATATTTGCAGAAGGATTATCAGAAGTGCAAATACCAGTTGGAAAATTTACAATTATGCAAGATAAAGAAGAACGTGTAATGAATGATACATTTGTAGTAAATTATGCTCAAATGATGGAATCTCGACTTATATCTAGTGGTAGTCCACCTGTTTCAATGCATTCTATTATAGTAGTTACATAATTATACCTTTATTATATATGCCCACGTGGTTATCCACATTCGGAATAAAATACATTGTCTTATTACTATACTAATAATTCGTAAGAATAGAATTGTCATAATTACCTTTTCCTCGTATATTGTGCGTGATATTGTCGGTGCAAGGAATTGTTGAAATTATTTGAACACTTCACTTTAAACGCGATACAATTTCATTTGGATTTTACTTGAATCGAACAATTTCTACCGAATTAATGTTAAAAAAGATTGAGTTTTACTCGTGTGAACCCCGTTTCTCACGGCGTCTATTTTCGCGGATAGTTTTTAAGCACGAAAACTATGAAAAACACGATAATTCGAGTAAATACATATGCGAGATAGTAAAGTTACGTTACTTTTACTCGTTAGGTTGATATTTTGTTTAAAATATGCTTTTTACGCACCTTTTTAGTTAATTTTATAATTCTTTGAGCACTACGTCTTTCCCTTTTGAATAGTAATAACCAACTACGCCACGATACGGCAGAGTCGCGAATTATTTGCGGGAAACGTTCCTATTGGTCGACAGCGAGAGCCAGTTCCACCAATCACATTCAATCCAGAAAGCGCGTAATACGATTTAAAAAAACATTCTTAAGTTCAACCGACAGATAATAGAAGAAGAAATCGAGATTCTCGATCTTAAAATTATTATAATTAATTTATTACTGGCTGGATCTTCACGAAACCTATATTAAAAATATGCTATGGGTACATATATAAAAATATTTTTTGCAAATATTTCGAGAAATAACAATTTATTTGCCATGGTACCTTAATACTTTTTTACGTAGAATGAACAGAGGAATCGATCTGTGCAATAAAAAATATGCATTTCCGTTTAAAAAAATGATGCAGTTGTTAATTGCACATGCACTGTTAGTATTTAAAAAAATCTGAGGACCTACAGATGTAGTGCTCTTCGAGCCATTTATCTTTCTCCTATGGCATTATTTCGTAAATGCATTATTAACGGAGTTATGACCAGAATTATTACCAGAGGTAATCGGGCGATTAAAGGTCGAGCTAAATGAACTGCCATAATTAGCCGTGGAACTTTTGCACCGCTCCTCTTCCTGTCTCCCTTTCGCTCTCGTTTGCTCCAATTCACTGATTACCGAATTATTCCGTTCTACTATTACACGTACTCATACCGACGTCCCCTATCTCTTTTCTTTGACCAGGATTGAATGCTTCATTAGCCGCGCACTGAATAAAATGACGAAAATTAACTCGATTCACGGCATTAATATGATTCTCGAAATTTTGTATAACAGCGATACTGTATCTTCGGGTCGTAAACGCATTATCCACGATCCACAGCTATTAATTTCGACAAACGGAAATAAAATCACGCTCATAAACTTTGTTTCGCTGATTAAATCGCACGGGTTTCAATATTTCTCTCCGTACGATAGAAATCAGAAATAATATTGTAGATGAATTACAAAATTATAGTCTAGATGAGAAATCTAATTTCTATCCTTTTATATCAGGTCAAGCCACCAGGGAACTTATCGGAGATCGGGGCTCAGGTAACACAAGAGAAACTGATGAAAGACTGATAAAACTTTCGAAATGATGAATATGTTTCGAAGACTATAACTTTGTTTGCGCGAACCAGGGTTTGTACAAACAACGATGTTTTAAGATGTCTGTAAATATACCTGGCTGAAAGCTGAAAATTCTTCCACTCTATTCCAATTCGCCTCTTGATTAGTCTATCGAACGATCCACGCACATTTTCATTCATGTTTCAACGTTGCTGTGATTTCTGTTCAAATTCGCCTACCATCACGTAACAGCCCTTTCGCAAATGTTTGCATCGACCGAATAACGGTGTCTCGGTAATGCCAGCGTGAATAATTCACGAGATAAAGCGGAAGGGTAAATCCGCGGCTGCACTGGCTCTCGCGGGTCCATTCCTACAAGGCGATGAATTTACTTCTACGCTTCGACAGTGAATAATTCCCAGTTAAATTGCGAACGGGAAAGTATGTCGCGATAGTGTAACCTCGAACTTCCTGCTTCCTGTATATACTTTCTTAAAAACACCGGCTACCGATGCAACTTGCATGATTTCCTTATATACCTTCAACTTTTCTCACTTCGACGTCTCGGGGTAATGCATAGTTCCAAAGTCGAGTTACCAACAAAGCGTGTTTGTTTTTGAAACATTTATAAGCCAAATGGAAAAGAATTTCAACGAAGAGGAAATTCAAATTGAAAGCTTCTAGGTCATCCGCGTAACCCTGTTGAAAATTTCATTTCACCGCAATGAAATATTTGCGTGCACAAACCTAACGAAATGGTGTTCAAGGATCGTTCAAACGAGAGTATCTAATTCAGCTTAATTCTCGCGAGAATGGAACAGTTTCTGAGATGCTCGGAAGAAAGGAACGTCGAGGATTGCCGTCTCTCGAATAAATGAGAGAAAATAAATAGCTGTAAGAGGCGTTCAATTCAGTGAAGGAAATATTCATGAAAGGTTGTCGGGTCGGTTGTTCGTCCTGTTCAGGATTTTGACCGAGGATCTTCTCGCTACTCGAGAGGCATAAATTTCAAGCGGTGAAGTTTACGCTGAGCGAACGAAACCGAGGTAAAGTCAAGCTGGAAAAGTGGCATAAAGTAGGCGAAGTGGCTCGTAAATCGAAGCGAATATTACTGTAAAACGTTATTAACATTGCATCGGGCTCTTATGCTTATGGACAAACGGTTATCCATCGCCATAAACCTCTTCGATAAAAAGCAGCGAAAGCACCGTTTTCGAAACGCTATCAAATCTCGGTCAGTTCGAAAAATTCCCCGCTTCAGAATATTTCGTTTCGTTCTATTTTAGGTTTTGCCTCTTGTCCCAGACAAATGGTCTACATTCGACCGGCAAAAAAAGTCTGTAGCAAATAAATCGATAGGAGAGGCTCGGGGTCATCGTTATAAATACTCGGCGCGAGTCGGCTCGTAAAAAAGTAATTAACAAATGGAAGAGAGATTCGCGAGTTCCTTGCGATTGAAAATACTCGGAATCGCGTTTGTACATTGCAATACTCGTGTGTTGGTTTCAGTTATCCACGTTTGTTAAAGAGATATCCCGATAGGGCTTGTGTTTCGCCTGAATATTCATCTATGAAAAAGATTTTCCGGGAAAAAAAAAACAGATTTATGATATGCGAATGATATAGCACGGTGAAAGGCAAGGCGATAAATTGACAAATTTGCATTCTCTTTGTCGAAAATGGAAGACGAACCTCGCTAAAGCACGGATCGCTATAGAGTTGAACTCCCAGTAGTATAGCTCAATGGATAGCGCGACGCGTTGCACCAGCGGGCTGATATAATACGTGGATACACTACTGCGAATATCTTTTTTATGTAGCGACCCAATTAGATGCTTTTAGTGTTAAGAAATAGTAATTACACGTTCTAAGAACAAGTTTGTTAGATTGAAACAGTTCCTTTTCCCGAAAGAATAAAGTAGCGTTCCTAGTTCCTGCAATTATCCTAGAAAATAAATGAACAGACTTCTCAGGTAAGCTTCGTCTGAATAATTGCAGGTGCAAAAACGAGGATAAACTAACGCGTGTATAAGGTTGAACTTTCGAATCTCCGATCAGAAAGGCCGGCCTCTGGATCTTGAATCATTCTGGCCGACTCGAAGCGTTCTCTCGACATTTGTCGTATATCAAGCCGGTGAATTTCCTTTCGAGATAACGTCGAGTACAAAGATAAATTCTTTATTCCGACAGTAATGTTCTGCTTCGATAGTTACGTCAGTCTTGTCGTTTCCTCTTTTCGCTTTTACGACTTCAAACTTTCAATCAGCGTTACCCTTCGAGTTCCCGAAAAATCGAATAAAATTAAATCGCGATGTCGAACAACGAACGATTGAAATCGTTTTAAAGAAGCCGGGAAGCGTTCCTCCACAAAATTTCCCTCCGAGGCGTCTGTCGTTCGCGGCTCTATTTACTTAACACCGTGACGGCAACCCGTCACGAGTAAATCTAATTTAACGGCCCATTAAATCGATCGATTTCATTACGAAATCCTGTCGTTGAAGCGGCTAATTTTAGCGGGTCTTTTAGCCCTCTCAAAAGTAGGCGATTCGAACCCATGTATCCTCGATATTTAGTCATTCGGGCATCGATCATTTTAATTCAACACACCTATGCAACTGGATGTTTCAACAACGAAAATATCGCGAGAAAAATATCCTTTTACTTGGAAAAGTAACCGATATGTCTGTTCAGAGAACATAGCTTTTTCTCAAAGAATTTCTACACAGTGTTTTAATTGTTGAATTTATATGGTCCGCGTTTGAGTTACTAGATTCGGACAGTGTTGAAATTTACACTCAGATGGTAACGTGATATAACAATGTAGAAGTTTTGTAGCGAACAGGTAATTTAATCTGGCTACACTCGAAACAAGGTATTACGATATTGTTCCACACACGCTTCTCCGCTTGGAATTCGTTATATTGCTCTTCGCAATTCCAATTTCTCGTTTGCTGGTAAAGTTTACCTCTGCTAGACAGCGTTTCTATTATTTCTCGAAAGCATGGACAACGCGGTGTATTTTATAATTAAAGTTACATAAGAGCTGTCGCATTCGGTATGTTTTACGATGAAAAGAGGGAAAGGGACAAGGAAAGTGTGAGAATTTTTGTATAAGAACGCTATAAAAGGAACGGTCCCGAATGAGCTATAAACAGAGAAGAAAAGAAAATTAAGGAGATTGAACTGCTAGGTGTGGTCGTGGGGCGTATCGCGGTCATAAAAGAAATTTTCACTACTACTTTATAGATGGTAATCTGGAAAATTGGCGTGTCTCCTTCCAAGTTATTTACGTTAACCGTTATTGTTACCCTTGCTCTCTATGCAACGTTACAAGCCATTAAAGACGAGAGCAAAGCCCCGAGATCGAGCTACGGGACGGTGAAACGATATCTTGGCGGAAAAGCCTGTTCCCCTGAGATTATTGTTCCACCGTCACCGAGAGTCGCTTCGAAAATTGTAATCCGGATTGCTAGAGAGGGAAAGCTAAGGATGCTCTTTGACGATAAATCACATTTAATAACATCGTCGTAAATGTCACGATTTTGTCATCGTAAAAACCAGAACTCCCGTGCTGTTATAATATTGCATTCCCTATTGTGGTTTCAATGCCGCCGCATCGATTGTCTCGACGTTGATCAGCAAGAGACGTGCCTTGTAATGTCACGCGAAAGGAAAACACACCATGGAAAGCAATCACCGAACAGGAAGATTTGCTCGCGGAGTCGAGCCGTGTCGAGCCACATGGAAGAGGAAGAAGAAGAAGAAGAAGAAGAAGAAGAAGAAGAAGAAGAAAAGGCAAGAGTCTGGCTTTAATTTAATCGGACGAGTGGAGTTGAAGAGGCGTCGGGACGGCCTGCGCAGCCGCCGTGGGTTGCTGGACCACCGACCGCTAGTAGCACACGGCGCGGCGGCGTCGGTGTCGTGGTTGTAGTGGTGGTGTTGGTTGTCGTCGTCGCGACGCCCAGTGACCGTGCCGCCCGCGTTTCTCCAGCAGTACGCGTCCACACGTCGCGACGACACGGCTCCTCTTCTTCAGGAGCACGTTTCTTCCGTCTACACGAATTTCCAGCCCCGCGCGCGATCTTTCTGTGCACCCTTGCCCTCTCGCTGCTTCCCGATCCAGATTTCGCGCTTCACTTTTCGAAATTCACGTTTCCATTGCAAACCAACGGCGAGCCGAGACATGTCAACGGCACAGATCAACTCTGGAGGCTGTTCAGGACTCGAAGGGTGATTCTCAGAAAGGTAACAGTGAAACGTGGTTTGTGTTACTTAAAGTTAAGACCATGCGAGACTCGTAAAATTGAAATTTATCGGTGTAAATAGGAGCACGAGGCGGTCGCGTTTCGAAGGATCGAGGTCGAATCTCACATTTTCAGAGGGTATCGAGAATTCCGAGGGGTCCTATAAATGTTTTCGCGAGCTTGTTAACGCTGACGCTCCAACAGGTCGTCGACAGACGGCGTTAAGCGCCTGGGACGAACCCGCAAAACGCGTTTCCTCGGTTCGATAGCGAGTACCGTTGAAACGCGTGTGCGAGCCGTGACATCAATTTCCTTTTCTCCCCTTGTCGTCTATCGGGACCGCGCCGAAAATATACAGGTTACCGAGCAGAGTTCTATGCCCGACAGACGCTCACTCGTAAGCCACGATACATCGCGTTTATTTATGCGCTATACGATGTTTCAGGGGAATTATAGCGACGGTAAGAAAGAAATACGGCCGTGAATAATTCATAGGCTTATAGTCGAACGTTTTGCGGCATTGGCAGCATAAATATTATCCACCCTAACTAGCCGGTTCGAGACCTCTGCCTCTTCGACACACTCGCTTCCCTTGAAATTGATCCTCGAAGAGAACTCGAATCCCGCTGTTGTTTCGAGGGATCGATACTTGGTTGAAAATCATCTACCAACACAATGTAGAACTTCTCAAAGGTTCCGAGAGAAGGACAACCCACGGCCCATCCCTTTCTCTCAGGGCAACGATTACGTTGCCTTGGGGTGTATCGACGCTCGCCTTCCACGTGTATCTCTCAAACCCTACGCTTTCACGTTTCTTTACTGATTGTCAATATAAACGCAAAATTTCGTTAAAAACATCCTGTTGGAAATTTCCATATCCCCCGTTCCTTAGTTGTTTCTATCGAATATCAGGTCGTTCCATGAATAATACGGCTTCCTACCTTGCTTAAAGGATTGTAAGATTCCTGGAATTGAATGCACTCCATTTGTTATTAAAATTCAACGTGAACTCATTCCAGAAATGAATCGGAATCAAAGGAAATCGCAAAAGGGATGTCTTTAGTCTCGCTTCAGAAGCAAACGCACCTTGAAAGTAAAAAAAAAAGAAAATGGCTCGACCTTGTTGTACAGCTCGATACATATTTTCAGCGTTATTCCAAGGAAACATGCACGTTGTTCAGTCATCCATTTTCTTTAGCTGTCGTTTTCTGGGTCGTTTGTTATTGTATTTGCGGCGCGAAAGTCGTAGTACCGTTTCGACCCTCCACGATTTTTCCACGCTATTCTCTAGTTTCTTTTTTTCCTTTCACCCTATTGGCTGTGTACAGGCACGACTTCCTCGAAGCCATGCGTTTGCCACGTCGTTGGACACACAACCTGCTGCGTTGTGCACGTGTGTGTGTGTGTGTGTTTTCGTTACGCGTGTGCGTGCGACGGACCGTGTTTCCAACATTCGGTTCGTGTCGCCAGGGCAAATTAGATCGTCTATAAAACGCACCAGCTCGTTCTCTCCACAGGAAGCTGCCGTGACAGCGCTGTAGAAACAACACGCAAACACCTTGTTGCAACATGACGAATGTGTGTTTACGCTACCTAATTCATTTCTTCCGCGTCGACTACGAGAGCTTAGGAAAAAGTATGGTCCCCTTCAAATTTTTCACGGAAATCGTTTATCAAGATTTCCGAATCTCTCGAAATGAAAGGGTTAGCTTCTGTGCTTGGAAAACAGCTCGAAACTTCGGTCAATTTGTTTTCTATTATCGAAGATTGAAAAGAAAAGAGAAGGGAGGAGCATTGTTTGCTCCTCGAAATGACATTTATTCGAGGTAGAAAAGAGAGGAGACAAAGGGTTGCTACGTCGCTATGTCGTCACGATTAAGTAAATATCCATCTTAGCTTAACTCGTCGTTGCTTCCAATTAATCAAGGGTAACGCGCGCGTGTGCCAATCACAGGGGGCTCGGATCGATCGGGAAAAGTATCTATAAATTACGTAATACGCTCTAGAGTACGGTCCACGGTGCTATTATGGAACAAATCGATGACGAGGCTGATTGCTGAACCGGCTGGAAAACGAAAGAACCAATGGTAAAAACGTTACCATACAAATGCTTTTAACTTGAACAACGATTCCAATCGCTCCCGACCAACAGCCCATAAATCTTTCCCTTTATTTGCCTGGAAACGACCTTGCTACTTATTCCTTCGTAATTAATCGCGGCAGCAGTAATGGGTACATGTACGTTGAAAGAAAAAGCAAGAAACGCGTTACGTTGACGGCTTGGAAGCATTTTTATCGCGCCGGCTTGATTTCCAGAATGGAGTCTATTACGGGTTTTCCTAAAATCGAAAACAAGTAATGGATGGTTACCCTTTAGACAAAGGTCGAGTCGGTAAATTTCGAGCCTGTACCGTTTTAACTTGCATCGTCTATCAATTATGAGACAGACTGTAGATAGAGCGTGGGTTACGTATAGAAGCATCGTGCAACAGGGATTTCACGATGCTGTCACGAGCCTTACGTAACTCGTTTAACGTTTAATAATCTTGCTTCGGCAACAACGGGATCCCTAAATATCTTTCCGCCAGCCATCGAAGCTCCGACGCCTGTTCCTTCGCGAACGCGAACGCTTCTAACGTCAGAGCAACTAATAAATACATATTCCGAGTACACAGGCCTTCCGACAACCGCGACACCACCAACGCGTTTAGATAAATATGCATCAAGTTGTCGGAGGTGTCGTAGCGGACATGATCGATCGTTCTTCCCGCTTGTCACGTCGAAACCCATCGTAATTATAGTCATAAATTTTGCCACGTCGCGTCCTGTCGTACGAGCGGGGTTAAGGTGCGTTCGTTTAACCGCTTCTATAATTAGAGAAACGTCCGAGACGACCTCGTTTCCCTCGCGATTTTCCCGTCACAGATCATCGCAGGAGCAAACTCGATTCACGCGTTACGAACCGGAAGAAGACAAGCTAACTCACCGATTTTTTTAAGAATTACGTCTGTGTTCGTCTGGGTTGTATCTCTAGTCCAGTTTAGATAGCACAGATTTACTTGCTGATAGAACAGTTTAGGCAGTCATTATCTAGTTAACACCTCGAGGATAAATTGAGACGATGGAACGATGGAATCGCTGTTCGAAAATTATACGAGTACGGTCGCTTCTAATTTAAACTCTCCTAGGTTAAAGATAAGGATAAGGGAAGCAGGCTCCTAAATCTTCAAATGTTATTTCTAAAAACTATCGATCATTTTCTCGTTTTTACAGCTTTCAACGTGATTCAGTGGTTGACCTCTTTTCAGTTCCAAAATACACATCATACAACAAGACAACGTCTATCTCGTCTATCGATGATGATTTGAAAAAATATTTCAGCACCGAAGAATCTTTTTACAAGCGTGTAAAATATCGTCGAAGCCACAACGACGATGGGATGCCGGTATCTTTTCTCGACACGAGGTTATATCTGAAGCATCCCGTTCGATCGTAGAATCTTCAATCTCTCCCTTTCTCATTTACCCTTTCATCTCGTTATTACGAACAATTTCCGACGAGCAAGCGATCCGGGACGTTCTTTCAAAAGACTTCATCGCGCGTACAAGCACCGTAGATCGGCGGAAAAATGCGGTCCGTGATACCAGGCGATTTTTCTTTCGTTACAAGGCACCACGGCTGGCTTTTCTTTATCGATGTTTCTTCACGGTGTACACATTGTTCCGTGGATATCAGCTGCTCGTTTCTTTTTTCGTCTTTCGTCGCCATCAGGCGGTTTCCTCGTCACGAGGCTTTTCGCCCGTTTACCAGCTTCGCCCTTTACGCGAGCAGACGCTCCTTTCTTGCCGGTCTTTCAATAGCTTTGATTTTTCTCTGAAAAACACGAGGCTGCGGTGGCTCTCCCTTTTGATCTCGAAATTATTTTCCTGTCGGCGGTGGCGTCGACGGCGTGATACGAATTTCATTTGCAGCGACGACGTCAATTAATTTAGGAAGACGAAACGCTTTTGATTCTTTATTCCGACACCTTGCTACGGATTTAACGCACACTTTTATCATTTAAACCTCAGTTGGCGAAAACATCTTTTATTTTTACGATGGTTTTATGGGAAATGTTGGATGTAACTTGCGAAGGAAGAAGATAAAGAAATGGAGTGTTTTTAACTTGATCTATGAACTTCGACGAACAACGAAAGCTGAGACGTCGATCGGGGACTGGTTCGACGATGATCGTCGTTGGTCGAGGACAAATTCGTCGCGATAATCGCGATTCCTTTCGGATGCCAAGGAAACTTTCACAGCCGAGGAAGTTGGCAAAGTTTGTTACGAGTTGTACATTCAACTTTCGAGTTCGAACGTCGAGGATGCGTTGGCTCCAGACGGTGTGCTGTTACATTTCCTCGTGGTTTCCCCGACACGAATGCGAGCGTTTGTTTCTGCTTTGCTACGAGAACACGGAAGGTGTTCTCTATTAAGGAGACAGCACACCTCGGAGAATTTACTCTTCGAATATACACGCGAACCAGCCCTTATCGCTATAATGTATTTCTTCGTTCCTCGGCAGATCTTTTCTTGTCTTCCATGAAAAATTGAGGAATTCATCGTCTCTTAAGCTGAAATTATTTCAGCTGTCACTACTTTTCCGCGACAGTTTTATCGCACCGAGAACGAGAGTAGTTTGAAAAGTTCGATGGAAAGGCAAGAAGAAATCTCGTTTCAGTTCGAAGGTCGACGAGCTCTCGATTCTGTCGAATCAGCTCCTCACGCGATTTCAGTAACGAACCACGGAGATGGATGTGCCAATTGACGCTTTGTTTTTGTTACCGAACGTAAACACGAGATCGATAGGGTCGCAGTAAAACCGGTGACCCGCGAGGGGGCGGAAGTTGAAGGGATCGCGAAAACACGAAGGGTTCTCATAATAGTTGTAAAGATAGACACGAAACGTGGGATGAAATTTCCATGGAACCGAATTGAAATTAAACGTTTGCGTAATATCGT